AACGAGGGGAGGTAGAGACCTGACAGGGTGCCAGAGGGGGCTGCCGGGCACGGTAAGACAGTGGAGAAGCTAGCAAGGACAGGACCCCCAGAGGGGTCCGCCAGGGAGACTGCAACGGGCCGACTGAGCGGCGTAAGAGTAGTGCGGTCTCAAAAGAAGGAGCGGGACGCAGTCGAGTCAAGGGTGAAGGTGTGTAAGGCCTGAGCCGGCGTAGTACCTGAGAGAGCAGACTCTGCAGCACCTGAGGCAGCAGACGCACTAGCACCTGGGGCAGCAGACGCACTAGCATCTGGGGCAGCAGACGCATTAGCACCTGGGGCAGCAGACGCACTAGCACCTGGGGCAGTAGACGCACTAGCACCTAGAGCAGGAGCCTCACCAGAACCTAGAGCAGTGGCCTCAATGCCCGGGTCAGGCGGTACACATAGATAACAGTCACCCTCAACACTAGTAGTCACAACATACATGGCAGCAAGGATAGCATCATAGTCAAGATCAAAGATGGCAACCCCCGCCCTAGACAGATCTCCCCAGCGAGGGATCTCTGACGCCTCAGGGAACTGGTGGCGCCACGCGTCCGTCAGGCGGCCGAAGCAGCGCTAGGTGGAGTGTGGGCCCCCGCACTGCTCACTAGCTTGGTCGCCGGTACGGAGGACGTAAGTGCAGGGACCAGTGCCCCCACCGCGCTGACGCGCAGCGTACCACTCACGAAGCTGCTGGAGGGACAGGGTCACACCACGCTGCTGCTGCTGGCGCGGACCACCACCTGACCCACTCCTCTGCGTAGAGTCGCGACCCGCTCCACCACCGCCGCCGCCGCCGCCTCCGCCGCCTCCTCCACCGCCGCCTCCTCCGCCACCTCCGCTGCCTCCGCTCCCTCCGCCACCACCGCCGCCTCCTCTGCCTCCACTGCTGCCGCCGCCGCCGCCACCCCCGCCACCACTCCCACCACCACCCCCACTCCCTCCACTACCTCCACCACCACCTCCACCGCCCCCGCTAGCCCATCCAGTTCCCTTGCCCACCTTGCCCTAGCCGGTGCGGCGTCTCCCGCTAGGGGCGGACGCAGCGCCGACCGACTCGAAACCAGCGAGGTCGGCAGCACCAGCACAAGCAACAAAGAGCAAGAGGGGGGAGGGTGAACACCCCTCAAAGACGGGGGTGCGAGGGTCACCACGAGAGGCTCCTACGGCGACTATGCTCTTCTCTGCTGCTAGGAGGCCCTTCTCGAGGAGGTCAACGGTGAGAGTGGTGGGGCAAACTGAGAGGAAGTGGTCCCTGACAACGCGGAGAGAGTCAGGGAGCCGGGTGACTATGTAGTAGAGGGTGATGTACATGGGGGGGGTTTCTTGGCGCAGAACTCAACAGGAAGCGCAGCGCGGTAGCGAGTGTCACTATTGCGGAGGTGCGTAATGAGGTCGACTGTGGGAAAGGCAGCAAGGTCAGGGAAGAGGTACGGTAGCATGAGGCGACTCAGTGCAGCAGTGGCAGGGGAAGAGTAGCGTGCAACTACAGCGTCGTACAAGGTCTGAGCACTCTTGTACTGGCTAAAGTGTGCACGCTCAGTGGTCGGTAAGTGGCGACGCATAGCAAGACGGGCAGCAGCATCGCGAGTCGCCCACCGTGAGCGAACAGTGCTGTCAGCAGTAGCAGGCGGGGCAGGGGAGGCACCAGAGGTGAGGTCGAACAAAGAGAGGCCATCTGCCCTATCGCACTGGAGGAACAGCTGGAGGTCATCGACCCAGACCTCAAAGTCAACAGCACGGCCCTCAGTGTCTAAGGTAAGAACACTGTGTCAGAATCCCAGCTACTAACCACTTGGATAAAAGGGCTTGTTTAAGTAGCGGGTGAGTGCGCCCATAACCCCCCAGGCCAACGTGCCTGTAACCCTTCCCTAGGATCAATCGGGGATCACCAGTGGACCTCTGACACACTGGGTGTAGCCATGACTGCAGAGGTCTAGCAAGTAGTGGGCTCACCAGTACGAGTAAGTAGGGCCGGGGCGCTTCGGTAGGACTGGTAGCGGCTCACTGGCTCGGCTGCTGGGCGGCTCGGCTGTCGGGCGGCTCGGCGGCTAGGCGGCTCGGCTGCTGGGCGGCTCGGCGGCTCGGCTGCTGGGCGGCTTGGCTGTTGGGCGGCTTGGCGGCTAGGCGGCTCGGCTGCTTGGCGGCTCGGCTGTCGGGCGGCTCGGCGGCTCTGCCGCGGAGCGGCTCGGCGGCTCTGCTGCTGGGCGGCTCGGTAGAGGCGGCTTCGAGGCCGCGTAGGAGGGGGCGTCGGGGCCGCTTAGGAGCGGTAGCGGGGCCGCTGAGGGGCGGCGACGATGCCGCAAGAGGGCGGCGACGGGGGCCGTTAGAGGGCGGCGACGCGGCCGCGAGAGGGCGGCGACGAGGCCGCGAGGGGCGGCTGCAGGGCCGCTACGGGCGGCGACGGGGCCGCGATAGGGTGGCAACTGGGCCGCGATAGGGCGGCGACAGGGCCGCGAGAGGGCGGCAACGAGGCCGCGATAGGGCGGCGACGGGGCCGTGGAGGAGGGGGCGCTGAGGGCGGCGCGACGGGCCGCTAGGAGGGCAGCGACGGGGTCGCGAGGGGCCGTGAGAGAGGGGGAGGGCGGCTCAGGGCGGCGCGACGGGTCGCTAAGGGGAGGGCGGCACACAGGGCGCGCCTCGGTCAGGAGCGACTCGATCTCAGGGCAGGAAAAAAAAATTCGATGTTCAGTGGTGGGCCCTAGGAAGTTCCCACTAGGGAACCTGCTCTATACCATGTGAAGAATGAGGAATGGGATGCATTGAGCAGCATGAGGAGTACAAGTACCGTATTACCCCGGACATACCACCCGCCGAAATAGAGCACCCCCCGGGTGGCTTGTGCGGGGGGGGTGCTATAGCGGGCCTCATTTCTACTATACCCCCCTTTTGGGGCGATCTGATATAGCACCCGGGGGGGTGGGTGTTATGTACGGGTAATATTGCAGTTTTTGCAAATATACACTGTGGTTGACGGCGAACGTGCACTGTACTTTGGGTGGCACATTGTAGGCGATATTCGTGGCTGTGTGGTGCCAAGTCACACTGACGTGTACTTTCGCGTACACCTATCCAGATTTTATGGCAGGCGAACTTCAGAAGAACCGTGATCTGACCCAACAGTTTGTGTGACTTCAGTACAGTAAAATCACGACTGCCAGCTTGGTTGTGTGTTCTGTTTGATTTCGACCGGCCAGGGAAGTGAGGCGTGGGAGGGAAATGGGAGGAATTTGCGTGATTGGCTGCAACACTGATTTCTTGCTCTGAACCCTGACAACTCTGAGTAAGTCGTTGTTGGACACTGACCAATCAGAGTAGCAAACCTACGAAATATGTGCCCTCATAATCCAGGGAGAATTGTTTTCCCGAAATCAGGGGGGCCCGAAATGAAACGTCAGCCCTGGGGGGTGTGTCTTCTTTCCAATCAGGGCTTGACTGTGGGCCTTGTTGGAGCTTGCAATGTGGCAGCTAACCCACGAGACTAACGTTATCGCCCAGTCCTCGGTTTTGCGCAACCAACCAACAATCTACCACCGCGTCAAACATGTACATTTTGTTCTCAACCTTTTGTGCTCTAAAAAAAATATACATTATGTAACGACCCGGGTGCAATGTAGCTTTTTCCGATGACAAGACCCCCCCCCCCCCCCCCTTTTTTTTTTTTTTTTTTTTTTTGTTTTTTTTTTTTTTTTGTTGTAGTTATCATAGCACCCTAGGGTGGTATGTCTGGGGTAATACGGTAGGAAACTCTAAAGTGTTGTACCCCATATTGATTACCCCACTATAACCTAAACAGACCATAGCATATAAGTTCGACATGAAGAATATATAGCGAAACTACAGTGGTAACGGTAATGGACTGTGGTTGTCGTGCGACGGGCCTGGGACTGAGGTTGGGAAAAGTGTCGAAGCGGAGGCCCGGGGCGCGGGTTACCCGCCGAGCCGTGAGGTCGGGGTGCGACGTGCGAAGGTGGCGGGCAGATTGTCGATGCGAGGACTGCGAGTGGTAACGGTGCTGACTGTGGTGCTACAGTGATGTACGCGTTGAGCAGGGATGCGAAGTAAGGAAAAAGAGGGTTTCCTTATACTGCGAAAGAAATCCCCTTCATAGTGCACCGTGCCTAGTTGAGAGTGTGTAGTGGGATTGTGGCGGGATTGCAAGATGCAACCGAATCTCGCTGCCTCACGAGGATATGTCTTGCCTAGGAGTTTTTTTTTCCCTGGTTATAGCGCTTGTCTGCTAGCCATAGAAGTCCAATCGACATTTCCGCGTGTCAGTTACGAACGAGCTACGCGCGCCGAATATGACAGTGTTAACTGGCGCCGTGAAATTAGCTCGTTCCATTGGCTGGACATACCTGGCTCGCAGTCTGTCCGATGGGTTCTCTATGTTGGCGAAAAGAAACCGTGTCGGCTCTGGGTTTTTTGGGAACCACTTTGGAGGCGCAAGCGTACTAACCCATACTCCCTCAAAGCTGCGCGCACCGACACGTTCTGCACTGCCTGCGTAAATCTGTAGTGGCCTCACTGTTACCCGATTCTCGCGTCAATCCTGCAAATGGCTTCCGTTCCGACCTGGGTCGAGATCTCAGATTTTCTCGAAGTAGTTTCTCCGAAATGAAAGCGGCACCTTGGATGAATAAAACTGTCAACCACGGAGCCAGAAGCAGCCGCTTCGAGCCGATGTCGAGTCAAGGTCGCGCCAACAGCAGATGTAACCCCACACCGTCCAGCACCAGTTCTCCCCTTCCTCTTCTCCCTCTAACGGGAAACTGCACCAAACGAGGCGCTCATTCCTTGGTCCGACGGTGACCGTAGAGACACGCTTAAATTTGTGAAACTCAGCCGTGTTTCGTTAGCATGTTTTGTATAGTAGATCCTCAGACTCGCTGAACTTCGCATCCTTGGATCTCCTCATCCCTTCAGTGGTGAAATTTGATTCTCCGATCCCTTTAACGTTCTTTTCTCGTGGTCGCAATGAGGCTGTTTCTGACATCCCGTGCATTGGACCTCGCCATAGCCCTATCAACCATTCTGCTGCTGCTTGTGGTTCCGCATACCCTCGCGGTCAAAAGAGCACCGGCAAAGAAGTCCCCATTGCGGGCCGAGCTGCTGAATCGGGAGCTCCTAACGGCGTTCAAGGACCTTGATAAGAAGTACCCGGTTTTCTCCGTCTTTGCGCAACGTTTCTTCACTGTGGGTAAGCTCTTTGAATACGAATTTCTTGCTGGGGACATGGCAGCCGCAGGACAAGCATAACTTTCCAGCATTCTTTGATATGAACAAGCTGAGTCAGTTACTGATTGCTTTTCTTTTTTACTCTCCAGCATTCTTTGATTTGAACAAGCTTAGTCAATTTCTTACTGCCTTCCGTTTTCCTTCTTGTTGCAGCTAGGGTCAAACTGATATCCCTGGATGGTCCCTCCACGATCCTTGTTCCGTCCGATATTGGCAATCAGTTTATGAAAAAGAAGTGGAGGTTTTCACTCCCCAGCAGAGGCTTCGCATCATGAAGAATCTGATCATAAAAGGGAAGTTCAGCAAGGATCGGCTGCTGTCAACTGTGCCCTTATGGCGGTTCCCCACCATGAATATGGGTCTGAAGCTGGTCAAGATGAACAGCTACTCAACAAGAGAATGCTATTTTAAAGCTGTAGGGGGTTCTGCGTTTGGCCCATTGAATATGGCGAATCTGAGCATCACGAGGAATATCCAGGTCCATGGTGTTGGGCTGAGATAGCCCCTTAGGATCTTTGCAAGGGATAACTCTAGGTGAAGTAGTTGTAACAGCGGAAGCGTTTAGTGAAGAATTTGAACCGACCTTGCACTGGTGTGTGAGAGCAAAGTTGATTGAATTAAACAAGCAAATACAAGGATTTATATAAGAGTACAAGGAATAGATAGATAACTGTATTGCTGTTGCGGTTCGATATAGCGCGACTCGGGCAACTGCTCTGTAACGAGTCAGTTGTGTGTCCTTAACTGTCGCGCTGTAATTGTCGAGTCAAAGGTCAGCGACCTTTGACTTTCTCGTAACCTCCAGGCGGTTACCTTAACCTCCGAGGTTGACTCGATGCTTCGATTGGGACTGCTTCGCTTGGTACCTTGGATTTTGATACGACAGAAGCGCACTTAGGACTTATTGTTTCCAACACTCCCCTTCGCTTCTGGAGTGTTACTGCTGGTGACGTGGCCTTGTCCAGTCAGCATCATGCAGTATTCGAACTTCTGCTTGCCGAGTTTCTTGGTCAAGTAATCGGCTGCCATCTCGGATGTTGGACAGTATGACAGATCGAGTTTCCCTTTTTCTATCTCGTCCTTCACGAAGAAATAGCGCAGGGCGATGTGTTTCGTCCTGTTTGCGAAGCCGTTTTTGTTGGCGATGCGAATCGCTGACTGGTTGTCGCAGAACACGGTGAAGCTGGGTAACTCGGCTAGCTTCGCTTCTTCCAGTAGTTCGCGAAGGTAAAGTCCCTCCTTGGTGGCTGAGCAGAGTGCAATATATTCTGCTTCTGCTGAAGATAGTGCGATTAACTCCTGCTTGCTCGACTGCCAGGAGATAGGACCGATAGGCTCAAGGCGGTAGACATAGCCGGTGCGTGAGCGCCTGTTGTCGGTGTCGCCGGCGTGATCGGCGTCGACGTAGCCGATTAGCTTAGTCGGTGTAGCTGCGCTCTTGTGGTAGGTTAGCCCGATCGTCGCGGTGCTGACGAAGTAGTGGAGAGCGCGATCAAGTTCCGCCAGGTGTTCAGCTTCAGGCTTCTTGAGATAGGTGGCGAGCTGACTTGCGGAGTAGGATAAGTCAGGACGGCAGGTGACGGCGGCGAATAGCAGGCATCCGAGCTTCTTCTGATAGTCGCGTATGCCGGCGGGCTTGAGTAGAGTAGTTCGTTCCTTCTCGGTTCCTGATGTGTAGCGGTAGGGCGTGGAGATGGCGCTTGGTGTGAGGCTGAAGCGTTTCGCGATGGTGTCGGCGTATTTCTCGGCGCTTAGATAGATGGCGTTTTCTTCTTCGCGGATGTTGAGCCCGAGGTACTGTGTAACGGTGGAGGAGACCGTGAGCGTGAGGTCTTTCTGGAGCTCTCCTTCGAACCACGTGGCGATGCCGTCGGTTGACCCAATGTAGAGGAGATCGTCCACGTAGACGATCAGGAGAACGTAGTCGCTTCCCTTAGTGAGGCGGTACATGCCTTGGTCGTGAGGTAGTTGACTAAAGCCGATGCGGATGAGACGGGCGTGCAGGTACTGCTGCCACAGTCGCGGTGCCTGCTTGATCCCGTAGAGCGACTTAAGTAGTTGACAGATTCGGTTGGGTTCGCCGTGGGAACCGTGCGGGAGCTCGACGTAGATTTCTGCATCCACAGGTGCGTAGAGGAAGGCATTCGCGACGTCGATCTGCCGTAACTTCTTCTTCTTCATGGCGGCAATGGCGAGGAGAATTCGGAGTGACGTGTGGCGGCTGACTGGAGCAAAGGTCTCGGTGAAGTCTCGTCCTTGCTCTTGGTCGAATCCACGTACGACCCAGCGTGCTTTGAATTTTTCGATCGTGCCGTCTGCTTTCGTCTTGATGCGAAAGACCCATTTCCCGGTAAGGATGGTTTTGTTCCGTGCCACGCTTACGGGAACAACCTTCCAAGTGTTGCGTTCCTCTAATGCCTTCAGTTCTCTATCCATGGCTTCACGCCATTTCTCCCTGTGTTCCCCCCCCAGAGCCTGCTGAACCGTTGCAGGCTCCTTAGGAAGCGAGCTGCGTGTGTTCCCGTGGACTGCGGTGACGAGGCCGAGGATTTGCAGCCCAGTCTGTGAGTATCGAGGGAGTTCTGGATCCTCGGGATAAGCTGCTTCGTCTCCCGTTTCTGGGTCGGGCATGAAATTTGGCCCTACCCTTTCTGCTTCGTTGGTGTTGACTGTCACAGGTGTTACGTAACCATCGTCGGCGAAACGGTAGAAGATTTCGGCGTTGTTACTGTCGCGAGGATTATCCTCATCCATGGGCACGTCGACGGAGCAGTATGGGAGAGGTCCGGCTTCTTCTGAGGCGTTGTCGACGTTCTGTTCATCCCAGTCTGCTTCGTCCGCTGCTGACGCGAAGGCTCGGTCACCACGAAAACCACTGGTGAGGTCCCGATTCTCGTGCAAGTTGGCGAGGTACGTCTGAAGGGTGAGTCTTTCGTAGAAGATCACGTCACGTGCTGCTACTGTTTCCTTTGTGTGGACGTCGAAGATTTTCCATGCGTTGTAATTTTTCTCGATGCCGAGGTGTAGTCCCCACTGTGCCCGTTGCGAAAATCTTCCCGCTCGTGCTTCTGGGGGTCTGTACTGTACCATGCACCCGAAAACTCGTAACATTTTCGTGCTGCCCTGCTTCCCTGTCCACAGCAGATGCGGTGATGCGTTGTTCGGGAGTGACGACGACGACAACAAGTTGTGTAGCATGACAGCGTGGTCCATTGCTGCTGGCCACTGGTGGTTGGGTAGCCGCATGCCACGTAATAGTTTGCGCATGCTGTTCTGCAGGGTCCTGTTCAGTCGTTCTGCAACACCTTGCTGCTGATGTGCGTAAGGAAGGGAGAGGAGTTGCTTGATCCCCCTTTCCGCCAAGAACTGCTTGAAGCGGTGAGAGGTGTACTCGCCACCTCCGTCTGACTGGAATTTTTTCAGTTGTGTTCCAGACTCTCTCTCTGCTATCGGTAGCCAGGCGGCGAATGCTGTGAGCGCCATGTCGCGGCTGGGTAGGTTGCGATGCCAGACGTATCGAGTGGCGGCGTCGATGAAGGTGATGGTGTAGTTGTAGTTGACTTGTCCTGGCTCGCGATTGTAGAGGATGTCGCTGTAGACTTTTTCGAGTGGTGCGTACGCTGGAGCGCTCGGGTTGTGATGTGAAGCAAACGGTCGATGAGGTAAGTCAGCTTCGGGACATATAAGGCAAGTCCCTCGTGCCTTCTGGAGTTCTCTGCCATCGGGTAGAAGTAGAGAATCTTTGTCAAGGACTCCTGCTCTTATCGTGTTATTCAAAACCGTGTTACTTGGATGTCCTGTTCGTGCGTGCCAGATCTCTTCAGAGGCACGGTGTCCAGGTGAACGCTGATATGCGTCGGAGTTGGAGTAAAAGCTGGCGACGAGGTTGGCGCTTCGGTGGACTTCACGTTGAGTCGGATTCAGCTGTTTCGCGGGTGTTGGTGGTGCTTCGTCGACTGTGACTGGTGTCGTTGTTCCTGCTGCTGCTGATGTTGTTGCTGCTGCCGATGTTGTTACTGCTGCTGATGTTGTTGCTGCTGCCGATGTTGTTACTGCTGCTGATGTTGTTGCTGCTGCCGATGTTGTTACTGCTGCTGATGTTGTTGCTGCTGCCGATGTTGTTACTGCTGCCGATTGTCGAATTGTTGCTAATGCTCGTGTTCGTTCTGCTTCAGGAATGGTGTGCGAGTACCAGAAGCCTCCTGGGCTGAAGTCGGGGTCGAGATCCGGAGGGTGTGTCCAGTCAGTGAAATTCACGATGGCGTCGCTGTCTGCAGTGCCCAGGTCAGGAACGAAGTCGAGGACGAAGACGTTGTTCTTCAGCACTGCTTTCCCGATGTAGAGACCGCCTCTCCCGTGGTAAAGTTTGAACTCCTGGGTCGTGCTGTCGGCTTCCAGATGAATTCCTTTCGCCATCAACTGGCTAACGCTCAGTAAGTTGTAGCCGAGTCCTTCAGCGATGAGTACCTTAGACATGTGCAGTATGACATTTGTTTCTCTTGACTGAAGCTGTACCACTCCTTGTCTTCGTGTGCGCAGGTTTTGGTTGTTGGCAACCGTGATGATCACTTCCCGTTGGAGTCGATGTTCGCGTTGTACGAAACGCCCGGACGAGCACATGTGTTGCCCGCAGCAACTGTCCAAGAACCAGGTGTCTTGGCCGGACGGTTCACTTTGAGCGATGGCGGCGTACGTTGGATTCGGCTGGAGTAGCTCACGGCGAGGCGTTCTGTTGTCAAGCTCTTCTTCCGGTGAGTAGTGTGGTGGTGATTCGGTTGTACATGAATCGGTTATCTTCGTCATGCAGTTGATTATATTTCTTGCTCCTTGTGCAGGTTGTCCGGGTGAAGTCGTTGAAGCTTGAATAGTGGTCGTCGCACTTGCTTGTGTTGAAGCCATTTGGGAGCTTGAAGGTCGAAGTTGTCGCTGTGGTGCCGTTGATTGCTGACGATTCGGGCAGTGTGTGCGCGGGTGCCCTGAAGTCTTGCAGATGTGGCAGAAGGGAGGTACTATCTTCGGTTGCTGCTGTCGGTTGTTATAATTGCTGTGTCGTCGTTGAGTGTGGAATGCGAACTCTGATACTGTCGTTTTCTTCCTGTGTCGTTCTTCCTGCAGGTCCATATCTTGCTGCTCGGCATGTATTTCGGCGCAGAGTGCAGCTTCAGAGATTCTTCCGTGGGCTCGAAGAATGGCTTTGGTGGCGCGCCACTGAGGACCAAGCCCACCAATGATGACTGTCACGAAGGCGTCTTCAGAGATTGACCCTCCGCATCGA